TTTCCTTGTATTTGATCTACAAAGTATGCAGATCAGAGAGGAAAGGATAGATTGTAAGCACACGACAAACAAACAGCACACATACTTTCTGCAAACAATGCCCAGCCACAGATACCACACTAACCCAGGTTATCCTTCATTGGTCATCACCTGTACAAGCTACACAAAGGCAGCAGGTCCCTTACCGAGATATTAATTTGCCTCCCAGACTGCTGTTGGAAGGGAGTGGGAAGCCATGATTAAAGTGGGATAGTGATAGCGTGGTGTCCTCTTTCAGAGTACAAGTCAGCCTCCAATCATGCAAGTCAGCCTAATGTAAGCCTGAGTTCTTTCAAGTAACGTGCCACAAACTGAAATGGAAACAACTTCCAGTAAGGCTAGAGGGCACAATTTGACTAAGGAAAGCCAGCTAGTACACAAGGTGCAATTGCATTTCTCCAGATAGGGGTGACGGCTTCCTCATGCAGTTGAACCCACCAAGGAGCAGCAGCTAGGGCTGAAAGCAACAACCTTTGTCTATTCTCTCTTTGTGTATCAATAGGAAGCAAAAAGCTACTCTCTGCTCATCTTCACCCTCATCGAGCTCAATCATTTCCTGCCCACCAGTGGGCATACATTCGACTGGAGAGCATTCCCGTTGGTCCCTGGTAGTAGTTGGTCACTTATTACCCCAGCTCCCACTACCCCCTGCACTGGACTGTGACCTCGGACAGGGTCAGTGCATACATAAACACAGTGCTAGGGTTAACATCTCTCTGGGCCTTAGCAGGTGAGTTTGTAGTTTGCCATGGGCCTACAGCAACAAATCTGTCCCACTCTGAGTTGAAAGCAAAGCCCCTGCTTCATTCTTAATGAAATGCTTCTGGTGGGCAGATCAGGAACAAGCCTCAAGTTCCTCAGGCGAGGAAATGAAAAACAATCAGACAATATTCCCAATCTTTAGCGATCTGTTCTAACCAGTGAACAAATAATATGTGTAATTCCATTTGGGGGCAATGCCATGTGAGGAATGTCCTGGAGGACTGTGTTTATGCCTCCCTACTCTAAGGTAAACTTGCTCAACCTCAGTAGAGGACAGTCAAGAGAATGAAAAAAAAACATTACATCAGACTACACACTGCAAAAAAAAGGCAACTACAGGTTAAATACGTCATCTAATTGTTTTTTGTTTCTCTTTTTGTTAGGTCTGGTGATTAGGTTTTGCTTATTCATCACTCTTTGAACTCGACAAAGCCTTTGGTTAGTTCCATAAAAATCAGAAATTGTTAGAATAACAATTCTAACAATTGTTAGAATACTAGAATAAGTTCTAGTTAAATCAAAATAGAGGAGAGAAACTGTGTGAAGTGTGTTTAGTGCCAGGAAGACTAGGGGATAAAAAGTGGGGGATTGTGGCATAACACAGGGGGGAATAAAATTGACAGCTACCGAGCTGATGTTCTTCTGTGTCTCTTTTACACGCTGTACCTCAGGTGGGTCAGAGATTGCAGTTCCTTGACCAACATTTTCCTTGTATTTGATCTACAAAAAGTGTGCAGATCAGAGAGGAAAGGGCAAAATATAAATGCATGACAAACAATGACAAATAGACCATGAGCACAACGTATCACAACATAATAAACATTGCAATGACAAACTACACAGAAACAACCTGAGTTACACAGGCCAATAATGCATCAGCTAAAAATTATTTTTGATCTATTTTAATCCAATTAAATATTTTAAAGTTGTAACTAAACTAATTTGGTACGTACGATATTAGGGAACACCAACATATTTAACTTGGTTTTCTTACAATGATGGGTAATTAGTTTGAACCAATAATGTTATACATCTTTGTACAGCACATGGACTGCAGTGGTTGAAAAAGGGCAACTACGGATGGGCAAGAAATGCTGGCCGAGCCAGCAGTACCCATGTCCCACAACTGGAAAAATTCAAAATTCATAACTATTTTATTATAATGGTCTTTATGATTATGATAAAATGTAGATATGTCGGAAACAGGTTAATGGCCAGTTCATGTAAATTAAAATCGCTTGCAATCATTTTTTTTAAGTAACCCGATGAAGGAAAGCTAAAATCCCGAAACTGTGTTTAAGATTCATATTATGATGGGCTGACACTGAGTGTTAAATCCACACCTACATTATCTGCATTAAAAATTTCAAAACAATTGTAATTCATTTTTGAAAAATTCCAAAGTGAATCTGAATTCATAAAACTGAAAATCAATCTAGATTTTAAGATTCCAGAAGTGGTGATCTAAATTTGTATCATTAAATTCAGATCCAGAGTCTCCTAATACAATCAAATGCACTGCTCTGAGTTTGTCTTTCAAATCTTGACAATTTGACCTATCTCCCTCTAATGATATTTACTACAGCCATGCGTATGTGTGTATGTGTAATAAAGCTCTTCTGTTGCCATTGTGTGTTTCTTTTCTCCCCCACGTGACACTCTACCACATCAACAGTTTTCTTCCAAAAGCTATTTTACAAAAGCCTTAAAAACATCCTCACAAAGATGTTCATGTTTCAAAAATAGATGCAAATGAGTTTGGATGATTTGAAAAATGAAACAGAAATTAGTGAGAAACTGTATGAATGAATTTTAGTTTAGTGACAGAATGGGTTAGATGGTCCAGATGGATCATGGGGTGACATAAGGGAATGTAACCAGCAGCTACCGAGCTGATGTTCTTCTGTGTCTCCTTCACACGCTTCACCTCAGGCAGGTCAGAGATTGCAGTTCCTTGACCAACATTTTCCTTGTATTTGATCTACAAGGTGTGCAGATCGGGGAGGAAAGGACAAACTGTCAGCTGGTATTCTGAACGAACTGTAAACCACATAAAATCACACACTGCACCAGATCACAGGTTACAATAAAATTTGCACTTCAGGACATGAAATAAATCAGATACACTACTAATTGTGTGTCAGTCGTTAACAAGTTGGTTAACGAGACCCGTGCAGCCAAAGCACTGTGAGTAATATTTGTTTTAACTCATGTCATTTAAAATGTATTAACAATTATTATTTCATAAGAGTTATTTAGTTAAGTGTTGTTGGTAAATTAGATTATAGTTTAAATCATTGAAGAAAAAGAAAGAATATAACCAAAAGATTAAGGATTTTAGTGGGAAGCTGTAGATAAGGTTAGATAAATTAAACTTAGTGCTACCACTGACTTTGTTGCATTTATTTTAAAGGAAAGAGTGAATTTCCACAGGAGTTGTCCTGCACATCCTCTGTGACTGGTAGAAGAGTGTTGACATAGCTGTTTTCATTTTTCACTGCTCCTCTGGAACAGCTACAATGGATGAGCAGGGGAATTCTGTTGAAACTCAACAAGGTTCTTTGCAAATGCGACTGTCTTTAAACTTGATAAACAAAAGATAAGTTATGTTAAAGTTCAAAAGAAAACCGGAATAGTACAATGACTTTCATCATTGCTAGAGTAACCCAGGCTATGCTTTAGCAAGATTTGGTGTTTAGGATTTTCTGAATCTGCTTTGCTGACGATAATAAAATTCCATCACTGTAAGGCTGGCATGTGTTTTCAGCACTGCAACACATAACTATCAAAGGTGTTTCCACTAATTTTATGGCCCTTGGGCATCATTAAAGATTAATCAGGTTCCTGATTTCAATGATATAGGTTCTTCTATTGGTTAAGATCAAAAACAGTAGATGTAAATACTTTCAGTAAGTTATTTTTCATCATTTATTCCATGTTTTGGATTTTGAAAGAAAAGTTAAGCTGTTCTTCAGATGGCACAATCCATCAAAATATTTAAATGCATCTACTTAAAGCTTTATAAGACTGGATTATAAGTAATATATTGTCTGTGTCTTTCTCAGCGGAATGAAGTAGTTAAGTATTTCTGACTGAGTTATAACATGCCTTTGCTTTATATTACAGCATCCGGTACATTTTGTCTTAGCTGTACTTGCACCTGAGCAGTTTTGCAAAATGTCAGGAACATGGGGTGCTGTAAGTTTACCCTGTTCATTCCTGAGATGTGGAACTGAGAACCTGGCGACAATACTGAAATGACTCGAAAGTTATACTGAAGAATGAAATCTGCAGTTGTGACTATAAAAGCCAACAGGGATTCAGAGTAGTTTCCAAGTTACCTTAGGTTTCTAGTCTTGGATGTTACACAAATCTACAGGGGTTAGAGTCACAAATGTTATCTGAGATCTCAGTAGCCCATTGGCATTTGCCACTATCGTAGAAACCAGCAGAGGGTATCCAAGTGCCTCAGAGGCACTTGTGTTAATTAAATATCCTTAATGTTGGTCACAATATGACAATACAAATGCAGCATTCACTAATCATTTCCTCTGGATTCTTTTATCCCTTTGAATAGTTTAGTCCAAAATAACTACAGTCCTGAAATTCAACAATAGTTAAATATAATTGAGTGACTAAGATGGATTATTTTAAATACCCATTCTTAGGACGAGGGTTACGCTGAAAAGTTCAGTATTTTGGTAGTTCCTTAGTTACCAATAACATGAAACAAGCCACTGTGTTCATCCAGTCCATGGTGTGTTTATGCTTTATGTGCATCTGTCTTCTTCCGTTCAACATCAGCTAAGTCTATCAGCATAGCCCTCAAGTTCCTTCTTCCTCAAACAATTACCTGGCTTCGCTTTAACTGCATTAATACTGTTTGCCTCAGTATTTTCTTGTGGTATTAAGTTCCATATTCTTACCATTCTCCTATCAACCAGAGTACAGTTGCTCTAAGGAAATAACAGCGGGCTTCTCCTTGTGAAACACTTCAGGGGTTAGAGTCACAAAAAGACCAAACCAATAAGGACAGCAGGTTTGTTTCCATAAAGACTGCTTGGGCTTTACAGTCACTTCTACTGGCATCAGCTATTATTTCCAGGGTATTTTGCTTTTAAAATACAAAGTCCAAATTCCCTTCGTGGAATTTGAATGCATGTTTAAATGAAAGCGATGCTGGAAATCTGAAATAGAAACAGGAAGTGCTGGAGAAACACAGCAGGAACGGTTCCAGAGAAGAGTTATACTGGACTCTAAATGTTAATTCTGTTTCTCTTTCGACAAATGCTGCCAGACCTGCTGAGATTCTCTAGCACTTTGTTTTTATTTTTGAACCCACCTTTCCCAGATTGATAATCAAGAACGTCTGGATTATAGCCATGTAACATAACCACTACCTTACTGTGCCCACGTTGTGAACAGAGTCCTCAATACAGTCCTCATACTATTAAATTAAAATACAGACATTTGCAAATAATTTTTCAGGGAGTTTTCCATTTCATTGCAAATCCTAGCTGCATCATAACCTGGGTTATCTGTGAATATAACGGATTATGTAACTGCTGTTATTAAGGAGGACAAATTTCACACAGGTGAAAGATTAAAAGATTGAGAATCGTGTAAATAAAAAGACTAGCATAAATTAGGAAGAGGAGGATTGGTGCAATCAGGGATTGTACCGAACTAATGGCCTCCTGTGTTCTTTTGACTCTCTCCGTCTCTGGTGTTTCTTTAATTGATGTCCCTGTACCAACTTCTTCTTTATATGCGATCTTTACACACACAAAAGCAAGATATTAAAATGAAGGGCAGGACAGAGATGGTCTTGATTTGGCAATGGACTCAGAAACCATATATCCAAACCAAGCAAAATTCAACAACAAATTAACAGAGAATACAAGTAACAAACCAATTAAATCAGAAACCTGTAAGAGGCTGACAAAAAATACTAAACTGAGTAGAGTTAACTGTCAACAAAAAACAAATAAGGCAACAAAAACTTTTAGCAGAATTCGTATGCAATAAATATATAAGACTATTATTAGAAAATATCTGTTATATCATTGTCATTGCTGAAGTTTGTTAGAAATAATTTGCATGGATAAAAGGGTAAGGAGAAAAGTAGAAAATGGCTTTAAAAACTACAAATGGTGAGTAGGTTAGCTTTGGAAATATATTTAGGTAAAAAGTACCAAGCTGAAATTCTTTTGGTTTTCCTTAGCTCGCAGGATTTCAGGTGTGTCTTTTACTGTGGTAACCTTTCCTTTAATGTGTTTAAGTTCTGAAGTGTACTGAAGCTAAAAAAGAGTGAAAATCAACAGTAAGAAAACAGAAACAACAAGCAAAGAAACATTGATAAGACCAGTTAAAGCTGGTGAATTCCAGGGCTCTAACAAAAAGTTTTGATGGGATTATCTCTACATTTACATGCTTGGTCAAAATATTTACTTGATTCTTACTTCCTTTTCTTTTCTCCAACCCTCATTGTCTGAAGTTACAAAGTATCAAAAATCTGGAGTAGCATCTGTTCAAAGTTCATTAGCATGACCAAAAAGCATATCAGGACCTGGCTTCTCCAGACTTTGAAGGTAGACAAAGCCCATGGTTACGTCTGTTTAGGAACAGCCTGAATCTTTAGCTTGACGGGCACTATGGTGTATTGAACATGACTGACCAAGAGTCTCTCCTATTCTTGCCATTGGCACATTGACAGGGTTTGCAAGTTGGCAAGCAACCAATTTGGCTGTACCACAAAGACAGTTACAATGCCAATCAGATCCCAGAGTAGGACGGGAACCTGGCGCTGATGGCTCAGAGGTAGGGGCACTACTCACTGTGCCACAAGACCTTCTTATGAGTTTTTGCATGCAAGATTCTCTAGTTCCAACTTTAAAGAGGAAGGACAGGTAGAGTGCACATGATTGCTGAATCGGACTGTGCCCAAGGGGAATCCATAACATAAAGGCACAACTGTTTTAAACGGCTGAACCCTACTTAAATAGATTTTCTCAGTGACATTATTGATTATGCCTTTGGGCCCAGACCCTCACATTTAACTTAGGCCTGTTCCAGTGGCCTCAACTGGTTTTGAAGTTGTGAAGCTCAGAAGTCACTGGGTGTAAACAGTGTGTCCTCAGGCCATTCAGTGGACTCTGCCTGATTATAATCGTCTCCTATGCAGCCTTCTCTATTAGCAAGGGGCGGGGGGGGGGGGGGAAAATCCAAAACTCCAAAATCTCCCCATCACTCTCTCTGACATGCCATCCAGTCCCAAAGAGATGGAGAGCCAACCTCAGACCTGACAGCTTACTGAGCAGCATTGGGCACTGACTTGGGAACTGACTACCCTCATGGTCATGGAACAGTATGAGAGGGAATGGGACCGAAACAGACAAATAGAGATAATATATTGTAAAGTATGTGGGAGTAGGAAGAAGAGAAATAACCATCACTCTGTCTAGAATGTTAATAGCATTTTGATACAGCCCTGTCAAATTCCATAAAAAACATACAAAGCAAAGAAAATACACAAACAATTATGATGTTTATTGTTCCCAGTAAACATGTTGGACACTGATTGTCCAGACAGGCAACAGTGACACAGTACTTAACCCCTTTGGAGACAACATCAGCATTTCTGCAGAGTGTCCCAAAATAAGGTTGAATCTTTTTACCTTTTATCAAACATGTATTACATTGAATGGAGAATATGTTGATAGTGTCCTGTTCTTTGTTCTTTCTGCACATATTATGCCATTGGTTTTGCTGCAGAATAACCATGGAGCACAGAAAAAGTTGACTGAAAGCTTGGTCAACACTTCAAATCAGAAAGCAAAGGCTTTGGGTTCTCACATGATTGGCCTGGATGCCAGATATGGTGAAACCTATTGACTTACTGTACTGATGTTCTTCTGGTTTTCACGGACTCTGTGCATCTCGGGTGTATCTGTTACCGAGACATATTGAGACATGGTCTTCACAGCTTCTGCCTTGTATTGGCTCTACATAAGCAATTCAGAGTAGAATTAGTAGATGGCAATGGAAAGGCACATTATACTGCACCAGAATCATCTCTAGCTCAGACTTTTCATAACAATAATAGGTGTCAAATGATAAGCACAGATAAAAACTCATCCAGGACTAAATTGGACTGTGCAAGAAATACAGCAGTGCATTTAAATTAAAATATTAACTTTTCTTTTTATTGTCTTTTTTAATTGAATATAATTTTGGAGGAGACAGGGATGTGTTCATGTGCTGTCTAGCCAGCGATGCCCTCATCCCGTGAATGAATAAAGGAAACATCCAGTAATGCAATACAAGAATTTATTCTATTAAACCTCAGTTGCTCTAGTTCAACCTACTGTTCCATGAATTCATCGAAAATTTTGCATTGGGGATTTCACAAATCAGTTGTGGTGGAAACCTGAAGTACTTGAAGCAAGTTTGAAGAATATTGTAATTTCAAATGCATAAATTTCTCACCCAAATACTGCAATATCAAAGTGGAGCTGTAATTACAGTGAGCAGAAGCTGGAGGAATAGTGTCATTCACCTTCTTTAATGCAGGTGTAACACACCAGATATTCATAAATGTCTAAGTAATCATAATCTTGCATGTTAAATTGGAGAAAATTGAACAGGAAAGAATTTTTTTTTATTAAGAAATATCTCATACAATATGAAGCAGGCAGAGGCATTTGCTAAATATAAGAACTGCTGGTGAACAGTCCCCAACTTCTTCAATCTATCCTCATAGCCAAAGTTTCTCATTCCTGGAAATGCTATGAACGTTTAAGATAGTTTTAAAGTGATTCTCACAAAACGCTTAATTGCAAATGATGTTTTCAACCAAAAAAAAGTTATACAAAATGATTGATGCTGTAATATCATTGTCTGAGAAGGCATAGCAACTGCCAGCCATCAGTGAGTTGGAAAAGGAAATTCTGTCAGAAATAAAAGGTCACAGAACCCCTACAGTGTGGAAACAGGCCCTTTGGCCCAACAAGTCCACACCGAACCTCAGAGCATCTCATCCAGACTCATCCTCTATAACCCACCTAATCTACACATCCCTCAACACTACAGGCAATTTTCCATGGCCGATCCACCCAGCCTGCACATCTTTGGACTGTGGTAAGAAACCAGAGCACCTAGAGGAAACCCACGCAGACACAGGGAGAATGTGCAAACTCCACACAGACAGTCGCCCAAGGTGGAATCGAACCCAAGTCCCTGGTGCTGTGAGGCAGCAGTGCTAACCACTGAGCCACTGTGGTATTATTTGGGGCTGGAGAGGATAGAGATCCCAGTTTGTCTTCATGCGGTGAGGACTGGTGCAGTGTGCAGTTATGTGTATGTTATGTCCATCATATTTAAATATCAAGCAAGGTGGAGTTCCACTGTCCAGCTCCAGGCTGGCTCCAGGAATTTAGCTTCTTGTAAGTTGATGAGAAGTAAAAGGTGGTTCTCGTCCCAATGTGGGCCTCAAACTGTTCCTAAGGCATTCAATGTAATTAGAAGATACTGAGAACCAACGATTAGAAGTGGAGAAGGTTCCCTGGATCCTACTAGGCCATGGATTACTACTGGAGGACATTTGTTTCTAATGCCCCCACATCCTCTAAAGTGGCCCCTCCACCCACAGAATTAAAGAATTGATGGCTTGGGTTGAGGACAGTTGTGGTTCTGCTGTGTTACATCTGCACCAACTTAGCTGACATCACCTTCCCGGCCAGTAAAGTTCACATCTATTGTGAAAATGAGCAGCAGAACAGAAAATAGTTTAGAAAAGAAATGCTTTACCTGGCTGCTCAAATTCTTCACATTATGAGCGTGGATTATATCGGGTGTATCTACAACTGTTGTGTAATTAGGCATGTCCATTTCAGCCAACTGCTTGTATTTTACCTAAAAAAGGATGACAGGTCAATTTTAACCACACAGATACCATTTCAGCCATTTAATTAATCAATGAACTTCACTGAGCTGGGATGGAGTTACAATTTACAGATTTGAAAGGATATGACAGAGAACTGGATCAGTCATTCATTTCCAGGTCGAGATGGACCATAAGCAACATCATCAGGTCTTGTCCTCATCTGTTAAAATTGCCAATGTGCTACGACACAATAGAGGAATAAATTCATGCTAAATAGTAGAAGTACCCTGTTATATGCAGGGCAAGGAATTTCGCAAACAATGGATCAGAATCAGAGCTCCGTAGCCCACCACATCAAGCCACAAGTAGTAGTGGAGAACTAACAGGAGCAGGACCCCAGGAAAAGCCCCCATTATCAATGATGACAAAGCACAGGCGACAAATGAAAGACAAAGCTGAAGCATTTACTATCATCTACAGCCAGAAGTGCAAAGTGAATGATCTATCTGACTCCCCTCCTGAAGTACAAACCATTACAATGACTGTTTTCAGTCAATTCAATTCATTTCACTTGATGTTAAGAATGACCAAAAGCACTGAATGAAGCAAATATTAGGAGCCACAACAATATCATTCTTTAGTGCTAAAGACTTGTACTCCAGAAGTAACAATGCCCCTATACAAGAAATTACAATACAGTTACAACACTGGAATGACCCAAAGTGAAAGATTGCTTAAGTATGTCCTCTCCACAAAAGGCAGGATAAATCTGTACCATTAGCCTAGCCCCAACCATTGGTAAAATAACATAACATATCATTGAGAGTGCTATTGAGTACAAATTACTCACTGATATTCAGTTAAGGTTCTATTCAGATCATTTTGCTGTGTTCTTCATTACGGCCTTTGTTATACAGTGATGAAACTGAAAAATCTATGGGCTCCTGCAATAGTACTCAACACACGCTCCAGAACTTGCTGCAAAACCAGCCAAGATATTTCAGTGCAGCCAGAACAACAGCCTTCAATTTCTACTTTTATTTATTCATGGGATGTTTGTGTCGTTAGCTGGCCTGCATTTATTGCCTGTTCCTATTTGTCTTTGAGAAGAAAGTGGTGAGCTACCTTCTTGGACCTAGCAATGTGCAAACCTGCTCAGGTATGCCCAGTACACAAAATCAGGATAATCCAAATGAGCCGGTTATTGTCCTATCAGACACTCTTGGACATCAGGAAATGATGGAAGATGTCATCAAACAGTGCTATTTAACCGCATTCACTTAGCAATAAGCTGCTCACTGTCATATAGAGTCATAGAACTGTACAGCATGTAAGCAGACTTCATTCCAACTTGCCCAGGCTGACCAGCTATCTTAAATTAATCTAGTCCCATTTGCCAGCATTTGGCCCATGTCACTCTAAACTCTGCCTATTCATAGACCCATCCAGATGCCTTTTAAATGTTGTAATTGTACCAGCCTCCACCACTTCCTCTGGCAGCTCATTCCATACACGCACCACCCTCTGCGTGAAAATGTTGCCCCTTCGGTCCCTTTTAAATCTTTCCCCTCACTGATGCTCTGTTTCAGTTTTTCTAGGGCCACTCAGCTCCTGACTTCATTCAGCCTTGGTCCAAAAATGGACAAAACAAAGAGTTGACTTCCAGAAATAAGGTGAGAGTAACAGCCCGTGTCATCAAAGCTGCATTTGACTGAGACATCAAGAAGCCCTAGCAAAACTGGAATGAATGGAAATCGGGGGAAACTCTCTGCTAGTTAGAATTTGACCTCGCACAAAGGAAGATGGTTATGGTTGCTAGAGGTCAGTTATCTCTGAGGTGCTCCTCGAGCTAGTGTCCTAAGCTCAAACAGCTTCAACTGCCTTATCAATAATATTCCTCTGTTATAATGTCAGAAATGGAGATGTTTATTGATGCTACACAAGCCTGAATTTTTGTAATGCTGGGGTGGGGTCTCCAGCTTAGCCAAAATGGCACCTGACTACCAATTCTGGAAGACCCAACTTTCAACCTGACATTAGCATTTTTCATCAACAAACTTTCTTGATGGGGCTATGCATATACCAAATGGTTCAAGAAGGCAACTCACCACCACTTTCTCAAGGGCAATTAAGGGTGGATAGTTATTGCTGAATTTGTCAGCAATGCCCCCATAACCCATGAGTCATACAGTCATACAGCATGGAAATAGACCCTTCGGTCCAACCAGTCCACACTGACTATGTTCCCAAACTAAATTAGTCCCATATCCCTCTAAATCTTTCCTATTCATGAACCTATTCATTTATAAAGTTTTAGCAAAGATTACCTAGCATGGTGATGAAACGTCTGAACGAAAACAAACTAGCTCAGTGAGCAAGTCAACAACCTAACCTATCCATGTGTCTTTTAAACGTTATAACTGTAACTGTATCCACCACTTTCTCTGGCAGTTCATTGCACTCTATGTAAAAAATTTGACCCTCATATCCTTTTTAAATCTTTCTCTTCTCACCCAAACGAATAAAGACCTGAAAAACAAACTTACTGTTGTCAAGGGCAAGGCCAATGGTATATCTTTAATTAGGTGGAAGAATTAATCTATTGAATGCATAGTCACTCACCTGGCTTAAAATTTCTGTGGCGTTCCTGGCTCTGGCAAAGTCAGGTGTTTCATTAGCAAGTGCCACAAGCCCTTTACCCTTGATTTCTTCTTCCAATGATCTCTTGTACTCTTTCTGAGTTAGACAAAGCAAAGAGGCCATTCATCAATAGTTCTGTAAATAGTCTGTAGGAATATCCCTACTGAAAATCCAATTGCAATATAGTTGGGAATTGCCTCAACCAAACCATGGGGTAGCAACATGCATTTTTCTTGGCATGTTTTAGTCTAGAGTGATGGACAGTGATAATAAAGGCTCCAACATTCATTCTTCACATGGTTGACCAGGAATCTCTCCCACTCTTATCCCCTGCAACTAGCCAGTGTTGAAAGGATTTGTAGGTTTTGCATTGTTTGAATGCATTATGAATATATATTCTTTGGCCATCAGATCCCAGGGCAGCGTTCAAATCAGGAAGAGATAGTAGGAACTGCAGATGCTGGAGAATCCGAGACAACAAGGTGCAGGGCTGGATGAACACAGCAGGCCAAGCAGCATCATAGGAGCAGAAAGGCTGATGTTTCGGGCCTAGACCCTTCATCAGAAAAGGGGGAGGGGAAGGGGGTTCTGAAATAAATAGGGAGAGAGTGGGAGGCGGATAGAAGACGGATAGAGGAGAGGATAGATGGAGAGGAAACAAACAGGTCGAAGAGGCGGGGATGGAGCCAGTAAAGGTGAGTGTAGGTGGGGAGTTAGGGAGGGGATAGGTCAGTCCAGGGAGGACAGACAGGTCAAGGGGGCAGGATGAAGTTAGTAGGTAGGAGATGGGGGTGCGGCTTGAGGTGGGAGGAGGGGATAGGTGGGAGGAAGAACAGGTTAGGGAGGCGGGGACGAGCTGGACTGGTTTTGGGATGCGGTAGGGGGAGGGCAGATTTTGAAGCTTGTGAAATCCACATTGATACCATTGGGCTGCAGGGTTCCCAAGCGGAATATGAGTTGCTGTTCCTGCAACCTTTGGGTGGCATCGATGTGGCACTGCAGGAGGCCCAGGATGGACATGTCGTCTGAGGAATGGGAGGGGGAGTTGAAATGGTTCGCGACTGGGAGGTGCAGTTGTTTATTGCGAACCGAGCGTAGGTGTTCTGCAAAGCGGTCCCCGAGCCTCCGCTTGGTTTCCCCGATGTAGAGGAGGCCACACTGGGTACAGCGGATGCAGTATACAACATTGGCAGATGTGCAGGTGAACATCTGCTTGATGTGAAAAGTCTTCTTGGGGCCTGGGATGGGGGTGAGGGAGGAGGTATGGGGGCAGGTGTAGCACTTCCTGCGGTTGCAGGGAAAAGTGCCGGGTGTGGTGGGGCTGGAGGGGAGTGTGGAGCGGACAAGGGAGTCACGGAGAGAGTGGTCCCTCCGGAAAGCAGATAAGGGTGGGGAGGGAAAGATGTCTTTGGTGGTGGGGTCGGATTGCAGATGGCGGAAGTGTCGGAGGATGATGCGTTGGATCCGGAGGTTGGTGGGGTGGTACGTGAGGATGAGGGGATTCTTTTTTGGTTCTTATTGCGTGGACGGGGTGTGAGGGATGAGTTGCGGGAGATGTGGGAGACACGGTTGAGGGCGTTGTCGACCACTGAGGGGGGGATGTTACGGTCCTTGAAAAACGAGGACAACTGAGATGTATGGGAGTGGAATGCCTCATCCTGGGAGCAGATGTGGCGGAGGCAAAGGAATTGGGAATAGGGGATGGCATATTTGCAGGAAGGTGGGTGGGAGGAGGAGTATTCTAGGTAGCTGTGGGAGTCGGTGGGCTTGAAATGAATATTGGTTTCTAGGTGGTTGCCCGAGATGGAGACAGAGAGGTCCAGGAAGGGGAGAGAGGTATTAGAGATGGTCCAGGTAACCTTAAGGTTGGGGTGGAAGGTGTTGGTGAAGTGGATGAACTGTTCGAGCTCCTCGTGGGAGCATGAGGCGGCGCCGATACAGTCATCAATGTAACAGAGGAAGAGGTGGGGTTTAGGGCTAGTGTAGGTACGGAAGAGGGATTGTTCCACGTAACCTACAAAGAGACAGGCGTAGCTTGGGCCCATGCGGGTACTCATGACCACCCCCTTTGTCTGTAGGAAGTGGGAGGAATTGAAAGAGAATTTGTTGAGGGTGAGGACGAGTTCGGCTAAGTGGATGAGGGTATCAGTGGAGAGGGACTGGTTGGGCCTGCGGGACAGGAAGAAGCGGAGGGCCTTGGCCTGCTGTGTTCATCCAGCCCTGCACCTTGTTGTTTCGAATCAGGAGGCTTTGGTTCAGAGAGAGGGACTATGGTCCAACGTGCTACATGAACTCCATTGTCCTGTAGAGGTAGCTAAAAATTGCCAATGTGAGGAAAATTAGATCCACAGCTAAGGCCACTAGTTCATCTTGGTATGTTGGCAACTGCAAAGCCAGAATGATCTAAATGGGAGAACATCCTGCTGTTCATCTGACTATTTACATAATTATCAATCTGTTCAAACTGGCCGATTCTCGACCTGGGTGACTAGAGAATGAAAGAAAAGTCTTTTGCCTGTGAATGCTATCATTAGTGATAGTTCTATTCATCAGCTTAAAAAATCATTTTGTTTTATTCTGTTGAAAAAAGGCATGCTATATTCATAACTCAATATGGATTGTCTTTATCTTGAAAAAGAAACAATATCAAAAGTGTGACCAAGGTGGCTTCTGAAGGTCAGATGACTTTTAAAAGTTTCAACACAGACTATCTCAAGTCTCCAGAAACTTTCTAACTGAATAACTATGGATAGCAGTCTCCTTCTTCTATGAGCATACACAGACAAAATTCATCTGTGGAATTTACTCAAATGACAGAATCTGTAGACTCTCAGCACTCCCTATTTATGAGCTTGATACTCAACAAATGAAGGGAAAAAGCAGCCAGTTTATAATAAGTAGATGTAAACAAAGCGCCCTCCATTCTCTGCGGTATAGCAGTGGCTTCTAACTTTAAACCATTCTGACTGGACGGAAGCATTCAATTAGGTGGTCACTTGATCAAAACTATCTTCAGATAACAAATCTTTTAGGCCATCACCCAGAAGTAAACCACACATCAGAGTTAGAACCAATCTCCACTCACCAGAACTGTCTGCAGTAATGTTAAAACCCTGCACGTTCTGACTCATTGGTGGAAATAGTACTGAACAGCTAAAAGCTCTCCTTCTTGCTCTCACTTGGACCTTTGAGGCCTGAAAATTCACAAATGGCTTAAACTGCAATTCTCCAGCCAACTCTGTGAACTAAATGGCCTCCTCTTTGTTCTTATGTTTCTTTCATGGTTCCATTCAAAGGAGATCAATACTTGCAATAACTCTCTTGGGTCAGCAATTCCTTTGAGGCAAATAAGTTAATTTTTAAATCCAACCAAAACATCACATAGAACAAGCCTAAGTTTTCAAGGACTGAAAGAAAAGAGTATCATCACTTTTTTTTAAATCCAGAAGAGGCTGATAAACATCTATGAACTATTGAGTTCCCAAGGTGTAGAGCTGGATGAACACAGCAGGCCAAGCAGCATCAGAGGAGCAGGAAGGCTGACGTTTCGGGCCTAGACCCTTCTTCAGAAGGAAGGGGAGGAAGGGGCTTCTGAAATAAATAGGGAGAGAGGGGGAGGCGGTTAGAAGATGGATAGATGAGAAGGTAGGTGGAGAGGAGACAGACAGGTCAAAGAGGCGGGGATGGAGCCAGTAAAGGTGAGTGTAGGTGGGGAGTTGGGGAGGAGATAGGTCAGTCCAGGGAGGACGGATAGGTCAAGGGGGCAGGATCAGGTTAGTTGGTAGGAAATGGGGGTGGGGTTGAGGTGGGAGGAGGGGATAGGTGGGAGGAAGGACAGGTTAGGGAGGCGGGGACAAGCTGGGCTGGTTTTGGGATGCGGTAGGGGGAGGGGAGATTTTGAAGCTTGTGAAGTCCACATTGATACCTTGGGTTGCAGGGTTCCCAAACGAAATATGAAGTGCTGTTCCTGCAACCTTCAGGTAGCATCGTTGTGGCACTGCAGGAGGCCCAGGATGGACATGTC